AATTCAAGTATGAAAATGAAAAGATATAGCAATGGATTTTATTACAAGATTTTCTATATCAAGGCACGACTACATATGGGAGGTGATTGACAGATAAACAATATTAGTACATTTTCTACCTATTCCTTAGACAAATTTAGTGGAGAAATTAACTAAGTTATTTTTGAAGGAATTATCAGATTGTAAGGAATTCCTAAGGTTATTATGTCAGATAAGGATATATGTTTTACATCCAAATTATGGAAGAGTATTCATGAAAGTTTGGGCACAAATGCATTTCATCCACAGATAGATGGTCAATCAGAAAGATTAATTCATGAGCTAGAAGATTTGTTAAGATTATGTATGGTTGATTTTGAAGGTAGTTGGGAAGAACACATTCCATAGATAGAGTTCACTTATAATAATAACTACCAATAAAGTATCAAGATGACTCCATATGAGACTTTGTATGACAAAAAATGCAGAACTCCATTGAGTTAGTTTGAAATTAGAGAGATATAATTATTGGGTCTTAAGTTAGTTAATCAAGACACTGAAAAAATCAGATTAATTAGAGATAAATTAAAAGCAACCTAGGATCGTTAGCAAAAAATAATATGATCCTAAGCATAAAATGATAGAATTTGAAGTTGGGGATTTTGTGTTCTTAAAAGTTGTACCAATGAAGAGTGTTTCTAGATTTGGTCAAGGAGAAAAATGCACTCCTCGTTATATTGACTCATTTGAGATTATTTAGTGAGTGGAATAAGTTGCTTACAAACTAGCATTACCTATAGACATGTCTAATGTACATAATATTTTTATGTGTCAATGCTCAAAAAATGGGTTAAAGATGAAATTCAGGGACTCAAAATGAAATTGAACTTCAAAATGATTTGACATATACTGAGGAACCTGAAAAGATAATAGAAAGGGTTATTCATAAATTAAGAAGTAGAATAATTCTTTATGTGAAAGTTAAATGAAAGCACAGGCCAGTAAAATAGGCTATATGGGAAAAAGAGGCCATGAGACAGAAGTATCCTTGCCTATTTTAAGAAACATGAAAAGTTAAATTTGAGGGACAATATTCTATAGAGGGAAGATTTGTAATAACCTAAATTCCAAGTAAGATTACAATAATTTTTGCTTAATTAAATTATACCCAAATCATTAACTTCTATTAAATTTTAACGAATTTCTTTCCTACAATTTTAACTTATAATTACTTTCAATTATGATTAGCAATTAATGACTATTAACACAGAATATTGTTATGCTAATTAATGCTAATAATTATTTTTAAAGAATTAAGTAAATAATTAACAATTTTTGTTAACCATTAAACTAATGTTAATTGATAGTAATTCCGATATATTAATTAATAATATTACTGTTTACACTCATCCACCCATTAATCAAAAGGAAGCATCTATTTGATTAGGTAGTTTCATTTTAATAGAAATGAAGGGATGGGTACGGGTAAGAGGAAGATGTCATAACCTTATCAAAACCATCTTGTGTACACTCAACAATCCTATGTCTAAATTGACCACAGCAAAAATACATGCCTAATGCTTTGTAACACTAACCATTGTATTTTACCACACTACGAACATAATAGGGCCTCTCTCACTGAACCCCAAGAATTAACAACTCTGCCTTTATCTAATCCAGAAGAAATTACTATTGGTTGTACACTCCTTCTGAACTCAAAAGGTCCAAACTTGCTCTGATACCAAAAACCTTGCATCTCACTCTTCTATAAATTAAATCATAGGGCTATATTATAATTCACTTCTCCAACGAATGCTCTGATACCAAAAACCTTGCCACAGTCGGACACGATATAAAATATGTGATATTGGGTCATATTGGGTTGGATTGTGACAGAAGATATATAAAGGCTTATGGTTACTTGTTGATGCGTTTGAGGTAGTGAAGGAATTAGGTAAAGCGGAGTAGAAATAGTGGGAAGAATTGCGGCTTGTGGTGAGTGCAAAGAGTCGGGATTATTACGTCCTCCGACCGGATGCAGAGGAACATCCGGTCGTAGGCAAAATCCCGCCTATACCGAGGTGTACCGAGTTTTTAAAAAACTCGGTACACCTCGGTATAGGCGGGATTTTGCCTACGACCGGATGTTCCTCTGCATCCTTACACCGGACCAAATAAAAGTTTGTGCAAAGAGGCGGTTGAGGCACCATTCTTGTGTTCGTCACAGTGCTTTGATTAAAGAGTGCGACACAATAAGGTGAAGAGGAAATCGATTGCAGGGAGGAATTCGGTTCTATGTGTTGAAGGAATTGGGAAGCATGACTTGTGGATCATGTGAGCAGAACAATAGTTAACTGAGAGAAATTTTTGTGTGAGAAATCAATAACATTGAGGAGAATGGTTTCTTGGTGGAGTAAGAAGCATAACGACTATTGTTGCCGTGAGTGAACTGTGATCAATTCAGTGAAACAAAAAAAGAGAAAGGAAGATAAGAAAATTGAGGAAAGAAGAATATGAGGTAAAGTAAATTTAGTTGTTTCAAAGTGATTGATAAATTTGTAAAGGTTAGTACAAGTTTTTGAAGAAGTTTACACAAATTGTATTTTAGGATTCATCGAAGGGAGGTTACGAGGTAAATGACTATGTTAGTATAAATTTATTTTATGCAATTTATTTGAATTTTAAAGTGTAGAAATCATAGAATTGGATAGATGATTGTAGATAACTTACAAACGAAGAATAGTACGTGGTGGAGGATTTGAGGAGATAGATTGTCAAAGAGATTAGTTATGTAAATTTTAAAATTACAAAAGCAAGAACTATTAATTCTAGATACATGCCATTTAAAATTACAAAAGCAAGAACTATTAATTCTAGATACATGCCATGTTACTTGACTTGTTTGAAGAGATAAACGCATAATTAAAATTTCAATAGTGAATATGAGCATACATTCAAATATTCATGTACAAACAACTGTATATTCATATGAATAATTGGAGTTTGAAATAAGATCAAATATGAATGTTTAAAACTTTTCTTACTTGGTAACATTATGAAAAGATGTTCAATTCTTTGTCTATTGTAAACACATTCTTTGTATGTAAATAGTATAACAGAAAGATCGTTATGAAAGCATGCAACAATACAAAATAAGTATGAATTACAAGTATTTAAAGTATGCTAAATATGAAATTAGAAAAGATTGATTATAAAATAATATGATACCTGTAATTACAAGTGGGGCAAAAAGGACCTAAGATATGATACTTACATTGCATGTGGGGCTAAAAGAGATCCATACATAATACATGCATAATAGGTGTGGCAAAATAGACCCCTAAAAAGACAAAATACACCTCTATGTAGTTTAATGACAATAATATCATGTTTACTTGTATTTCATTGAATATTCTTATGTCAGATTTACTTGTAATTCATTGAATATTCTTATAAAAGTTTAAACAAAATTTTAGACTAACATTGATATTCTATACCTACTTCAAAAGAATTAAAAGGATAATCCTTGTGTTATTTTGCAAATAATGATTAATTGATTCAAATATAATTTTAATATGATGATTTCTTATAATATTGCATCTAAATTATTATTAAATTTGCATAACATTATGAGCCTCATAGCTCACCAGTTTAAATGCCCAAAATGTCCCCTCTAAATATTTTTTTTTTTTTTTTGAGGGTGGGCAAACTTTATCATGAAAACAAGAAAGAATATCAAACATCTATCCCAACTAAACCAATCTAATCCATATGGCTTCTCCAACAATATGAACCTCAGAGATTCTCAGCAATTTTTGCCTTCTCAGATTCAAGATTAGCTTGAAGAGAGTATACTTAGTAAAATCTCAAATCTACTCATTGAAACAAAAGAAACTAGCTCGACACTAAGTGAATTTGAACTCGACTCTTTCAATAGAAATCTCAGTCTTAGCCTGTGATGTTCTTTGCGCCTTAACTCATCATAATCGACTTTCTTTTCTTCTTCCATTAAACTAGTGGCTACTTCAACATACTCATCCTTTTCTTCAACAAATGGCCTCAAGAAATCAACAACTCACGCCTCAGCCTCAATACTCTGACAAAACTGTGGTATCGTTAAGAAGTTTCATCGTCAACTACATAAAGAATCACCCAGACAAGGAGAATCTACAACTTATATCCACTCCTTAAAGAGTTAGGCGGCTTTGTTACTGCTTTTTAAAACAACTTTTTGGTACATAAATTTTAATTTTTGTACCATAAAACTGCTTCAAAAAGCAATAATAAAACCGTTCCAAACGAAGCCTTAATCCAAAAAGATTACATACAATGGCCTTAGCAATCTAGTTATATCAGATAAGCTCATCTTTCTGGCTTTCTCTAGCTTCTTTGTCTGATCCAATTTTGATACAAAAAAGAGGAAGAATCACCAACACATTTGCATTTCTATCATTCCTTAAAGCTTTCCAGCAACATTGCCAAAATCTTTTTGCTGGTGAACTTCTTGATTTTTTTTTTATATATTCAAAAGATATGAGAAAAGCTCAGGCATGGTCTTTAAAAAGAAAAGAAAAAGTTAAGAGATATTTAAAGACTTGAAGCAGTCAACTGATTTACCATCCATCCAATCAAGATAAAATCAATAAATAACATGTCATGGTCAATGATTACCAAGGTCAAATCAAGGAAATTGATAAACTCTCATTTTCTTTTTAGCTTCTAAGAAGATACATAAGATCTAGAAAAAAAGAAAAAAGAAAAAAGAAAAAAAAAATGAAGCCTTGTAACAACCTATTTTATTTTATCAAAAGCCCGTGATTTCAAATTTTCTTAGGCTTCGTTTGAAATGGCTTTCTTACTGTTTCTTAAAGTAGCCTTTTAGTATAAAAATTAAAATTTTTGTACTAAAAGTGGATTTAAGAAACAATAAAAAAGCGATCCCAAACAAAGCCTTAGTGGCCAAGGTTGAATTACAATACATTGTCTATACTCTTCCAGAGCCCAACAAGACATGAGTCACATGACCATATAATTGTTCAAATAAATTAAAACAAAGGAACCATCAAAGAAGGCAAATGATATTCCTGATGCTAGTTCAGTGCAGCAACGCATTGACATGAGTGGTTAAGGACCAATTAAACAAAACAGACGGTGATAATCAAAATTTTAAACTTCGGATGACTACAAAAACAAAGGAGTATTTTACACGATCATTGTCTATAGAAAACTACGGCAAAATACAGCCAAAGGGCCAATTAACGCTGTTTTGAGTATGGAAGAAGGCAGTCATACATTCTCCCCATGCGCGAAATAACGGCAAGTTTGTGATCAATCTGCACTTCTGTTTTCATTAGCTTAATAATATCCTGTCTCAGCCTGCACCCAAATAAAATAAAAAGAGTTATGAAGCTAAATTTTCCAATCCAACCACATACAAACACCTTCATTGAACTAGAAAGATCTGATAACTTCTCATGTTCACTTTGCCTCTAGCTTTTCCTTTTCTTATGTCCCTTGTTTTGAAAATAAAAAGTTTGCTTCACAGAGGCCAAGATTGATGAATGTGATGAATAGTGGATCCTGCCATAAGCTTTGGAAGCTCCAAGGTACCTTTGAGCTTTTATCTCTTGTTGATGGCTTCTTTCGTTTCAAGTTCAAAAGTGTCGAGCATATGAAAATGATATGTAACGGAGGGCCTAAGTTCCTCAATGAGCAACTAGTTATGTTAAGAAACAACCACCTAACTTCATTCCGGTTAAGGAGGAATTTAGAGTATCCACCTAGATCAAGTTATCAAATCTTCTTTTATATTGTTGGACCAAAACTAATATATCTAAAATTGTCAGTAAGATTAGTAACCCCTTACGATTGATCCTTTGATGACTTCTAAATCTCAACGAACCTTAGTTGGAGTTAGTATATTGATCGCCTACTTTGTTTTTTAAGATAATATTTTATCTCCTTAAATAAGAAATAATTTGTTCAAACTAAGATTTAAGAATGGAACCAAAGATCTAAGAATGGAAGCCTGCACCATGTAATGGTTCTAAATATGCTTACTCAAAAGTTCCTCGACTGTCAAATGGCACACTTAACTAAGGTTGTGTAGGAGTACAAGTAGTAGTCATTTTTTGCTTCGGGTGAAAGTTCTAAGGTGATTATCTTTTGTTCTCCTCTCATTTTTAACCATCATCTCCTTAATCCAGATCTCAATTTTACCAAATCTCCTTCTGATAAATGTCATGCTTCTCCCTCTAATGTGTCAAATAGTAAATCATTGAATGACGATTCTAAATCCCATCACATTCTCCATAATTCTCTGGAAAATACTATTAAGGATGAAGATCCAAAAGTGCTTTGTTAGAAAATGATATTCAATAAAGGTGGATGAGATATTTTGCTAAATTTTCAATAAAGATTGTAAGAATATGATTGACATTAGTGACCTTAGCACCCTAAATAAAAATAAAAAATAGGTTTAGCTGTTTAAGTTTTTTTTTTAATTTCAAGAGGCGAACGCCTCACCTAAATGAGGCGAAGCGTACCTTGAGGCGCACCTCAGTTTGATTGAGGCACACGCCTCAATATTCAAAGCGTCAACATGCAAAATTGTGCCAAGGCGCGCCTCCTATTACGCAATTTTAAAACATGATTAGAGCTAACAGCAGCTTCTCAAAAATGCTTCTCAGTCTCATCATCACACTACCTCCATCTCACAGTTTCTAGCTAGTCACATTATCTCACAAGTATATTCTTGTTTTTTAATTATTATTATTACAACAATTCATTATTTAAATCATTTAATTTTTTTTATTTATTAATTTTGAGTAGCTATAAATTATTATTATTGAAAGCATTATTGCATTTGCTAAAAAGATCTCCCTAATCTGGTTTAAGATTTTTAAATAATTAATAACTGCATGCACATAATATATATATATATATATATATATATATAAGCGCTTCACTTTATGCTCTGCAGTTGAAGAAAAAAAAAACATAAAACAAAAAAAAATCCTTATGCATTGTATTGAACTTAATGCTTTGAAAACACTTGATTACATCTTTCTCATCTATGCCATCTACAACACCACGGATTGGCCCCCTTTCTCAACCTTCTCCCCCATTGCAGAGATCCTTATGTACATTGAGTTTAAATCATATATGACAACTTCGAAAACAACCCTATCTCCAAAGCGAGATGGAGTAGCTAGCATTTCAATTAATGAAGGGGGGTGTTATTGTGGTATTTTAAATGTTACTGAAATATTATGATGGTTTATATGTAAAGAGGAATTTGGAGTTAAATATGTAAATAGAAAATAATTTAATATAGTTTGTGTAAATCTCCCATTTTTATGTTGTCATCGAAAACCACCATTTTTAAGCAAATTATAGGAAGATCTGTCCAAATTTTTTAACTAACACGTGTCTGCTTTATGGCAGTTTGTCCTGCTGCAAAATAGTGCAGAAGCTAAAACTAACAAGGACAATCACTAAAATACAATCTCAAGAGTATTGAAATTTACAAGAAAGAATCCTATACCAACCTTGGCCATTCATGAGTTTCTTTTGCATTCTTTTCAACAGCTTTGCAAAGTAGATCAAGGCTATAGATCATCATTCCAAATATCCATGCAGCATCTTCCTCCTGACATCAGAAAAAATTATCAAACATGATTCCCCCCGAAAGTCCTTCAGAATTTTCATTAAATGACAAGGTTCAAAGAATATAGTAGAGAAAAAATATTGAAATTGAACATTTAGGCGATTATTTGAAATTTCATTGCATCATTTAATGCGGATTCAATACCTATTGTATGGACAGTTTGATGATAACTGTTCACACGACGTTTTTCAATTTCTAGGGGAAACAAAAAGAGGATTCTGATCCAATTCTTACAAGGAATTATAAAGCATGATAATTTTTTCCATTAGATAAAATCCTACTTTATAACAGTCTTTAATTACATTGTATTAAAAAGAGTTGGTAGATTTTGTAGTTATTTGTAAGGTAGTGATAGCCTTAAATCAAATTCAGACTGTTCCTCCCCTTTTGGACACGTATGATTGGTGAGGCCCACAGTTAATGTTGGGGACCAGTTCAAATTCAGACCAACTATCATTTCTCTATTTGTAATAGCTAGCACATCACGAGTTGTGCATACTTGATCTCTACAGTATATCGTAGTTAATAGACTATTTAATATATGGTTTGTGAATATTTCAAGCATCAGGAGTCAATGTTTACTAGAAAAAAACTTTCTTGATGTATATGAGATAGCCCAGATTTAATTATATATGAATTTTCTCAAACATGCAGTTGCCAGTGCATGCATTCTGTAAGTTGGAATTCCAATTATATGCATAAATGCATTATTGCTTAACTCGCAGGCATCTTAACACTTTATTAGCAGCGTGCCACCTTATGCTCATGTAGAGTTGCCCAAATTGTTTCATGTTTTCTAAAGACAACTTGCTTCAGTTACGGAGCATGTTGATAGTTTCTGAGGAGAATATTTGTATGTTTTACATAGAGTAGAGGAAACAAATAAAAGAGAATAATATTCCTAGTAATGTTAAGAAACGATCAACCAGCAGCATTCTACCAGAAGGGATGCTACAAAGAAGATTTTTAAGTCTCTAGTTCAAGATGATAACTTCCAACTCCCCAAACCCAAAAGATCAGTAGATGTTGATAAGAGCAATGAAACAAACTATTGCCCTTATCATAGGATGTTGAGTCATGTTCTAGAAGATTGCTATGTCTTTAAGGATTGGGTTGAAAATGAGTACAAATTTAGTAGGATGATTCTTGCTGATGCATACTTAGCCAACCCATCACAGGGGTCTGTTAAGGTTATTCATGGGGAAGTAATCCTTACCAAAGGATAGAAAGAAGAATCAGCAAGTGCATCTTCTTCATCTTCAGTAGTGTCCATTCAGAAAGCAGCACTAATGATTTGCTTGCAGATGCAAAGGGTTGGCAGTTTTGTTTGTCCAAATCTTTCATGAAACTTTTAAACAAGCTACCCAAAACGCTGTTGAAGTTTTCAAAAGCAACTCAAATGCCCACTAAAAAGACCTATTTTAATGTTCCTTCAAATAACTCAATAAATGGAAAGGGTCCTTCACCATTGAAACTCTCTCAAAAGTAAAGAAAGAATCAACTTCTAAAGTCAAATAGGTTATCCCTCCAAGTGGCAAGGGAAAATCCCCCAAGCCAATCACTCTTTTAGATTTCATGTATGTTTCAAATGGTATTAATGAAATGAACAATCTTTCCTCGTACATGTTATTTGTTTTCTATGAATTTGATAATTAACAAACTACAAATGAATCTTCTTAATTATTTGAATCAAGTTATGATGATGATCTACTTGTATACAAAATGCAGGGAGTAAAGATTGTCATTAAGCCTGAGTCACCTGACTTAGAGACAACATATCAAATAAAGAAGAATCAAATTCTGAGATTTTGGTTGATGTGACCTCACTTTTTGAGCCTGAACAAATAATAGAAATAAATCTCAGAATTATTCATGTTGTACAATCTCCAATGGAATCAAATAAAGATAAGAGAAAAGAACCCATAAATTAAAATGAGGGCATAATTCCACCAACACCTACTCAACAGAGTAAGTGGGTGGTGGACCACCAAATGTGGATTATGATATATTAGCTCATCCTAAGAAACTCACTGCAAGACTGAGTATATATGATGAACTCGTTTTTTCTCCTGAAATACGAGAGGCTTTGATCAAGGGTCTTCTTCATCCTAAAATTTGTTTAGCTCAACTCACAGAGTATTCTTTTGAGGAGGCATTACACTTTAAAGAGGCATTACAGTTTAAAGAAGTATATGGAGTTACATTTTCTGATGAAAATCTACTCTTAGGAACTTCAGATCACAATCGCCAACTTTACATTATTGTTAACATTGACAATTATAAATTGAATAGAGTACTTGTCGACCCAGGTGCATCGGTCAACATAATGAGCCTAAGAACTTTAGTCCACCTTAATGTTGACACGCATAAATTAAGTTCTTACAAAATGATGTTGCATGGCTTCAATGAAAAAGGACAAAGGACCTTAGGCTATATTACTCTTTCACTTTTGATGGGGGATTTAAGAACTGAATCTAAGTTCCATATAGTTGATTCTGAAACATCATTCAAAGCACTTCTTGATAGACCTTGGCTCCATGAAAATAAAATAGTTCCTTTCTATCTATACCAATGCAAGAAATATGAGCGTAATAGTGTAAAACACTACATAAAGAGAAATACCATTTAGTGTACATGAAGTTGAGAAATATGAAGATGTTTCTTAGAGGCAAACAATATTTTCCAGATCTATAGTGCCAGCGAAAGATCAATCAAAATCTAGTACATTAAAGGCAAAGTCTCCATCACCTATTCGAAAGCACCCTCAAGAAGAACTTGAAGAAAAGATCCAATAGAATCCTGCCCCTCCTTCAACACAACGAGGAGGAAGGATGACACAACGTGCTTGTGGCAGGGATCGTGGTAGAGGACGCAGAGGTTGTGATAAAATTCATTGCACAGGTCAAGATGAGTGGAAGATGAGGGGCACCAAAATCCAATCTCCACCATTTGCTTCAGGAAGGCCAGTCACTCATGTAGGCTTAGGGTCCAATTCAAAGGCTGAGCCAATTTGAAGGGTAATTTGTTGACCTGCATCTTATACCCAAAAGAATAAAAAGAAAGAGGAAACCATGAATCCCGTGTATATACCTTGTGCCCGTTGGATCCACAAAACCTACCGAAATCCTCTGCCAAATCCCATAAAATCTGCTCAAATCTTTAATACCTCGGATGCATCGAAGCTGTCCCGTAAAATCCGCTGCACTCGTATCACCTCCCCGAAATCCCGCTAAATCGGCGCCGTTTGCAGTTGTTTTCCAGAAAACCTGCGACACCAGCCCCGATCGCACTCCCATTCGCACCTATAAGTACCGAGCGAACGAAGTAGAAGCTCTCGGATCCCGTCCGCTTCCTCCCACGACCGAAGCTCCACTTCTCCTCCTTCCCCAAGCCGACCGAGCCCAAGCAGACGATCAGCTCCCGACCTCCTCCAGTCCGACCTCTCGTTTCTTCCGATCCAATTGCAAGCACAGAGAGAGAGAGAGAGAGAGAGACCGAGAGCTCTTACCTGGCCGATATCTCCACTGCCGAACTCCCTCTTCTCTCACGAACTCGAGCCCCCCCCCCTCTATTCAGAAGCTGCTACGCCACGCCACCGGATCTGCAACCTCCGTACAAGCAGACAGAAGGCGTCTATTCCAAGAATACCCCCGCACGTGCACAATAGTTTGTATACACATAGGCACACTAAAAGGGGTAAATATAATCCAAACCCGCATGGGCCCCGGCGAGCGTGTTATTGGTACACACGTGACGTCTAGGGATGCTGCGCGGGTTGATAAGTGAATTCAGGTTCGAAACCGATCCTTCTATACGGGTCAATAGAAGTCGACAGGGTTCGAATCATTAAGCAAATATAAAGTTGTGGTGACCAGTATATTTGCTTTAAAATATCCATATTAGGCCTTCAAGGCCTATAACAATGAGAATTCACTATCAAAAGGCATAAAGCCTACGAAACCCAGATATTTAAAATAGGAAATTTCACCACCTAGCACTTAAAGCAGATGGATGTTTCGTCCAAGGGTACCTTATAGACCTAGGATGGATGTTTGTCTAAGGGGACAAATTTGAATCCACCTTAGCTAACAGAGGGCTTTGTGCCCTATCGATCATATCCTATTGATTCATATCTCAAGGATTTAACGCCATTAAGGAGTGTATTGGCTCTGGCCATAACCGCTATCTGTGGTGCCATTTGGCGGCAAAACCACTCGGTTCAGAGGGCCCCGGGTCGTCGTAACCGTTTATCTTACGGTGCCATTTGGCGGCCAACCGCCGGTTAGAGGACACGTACCACGTCCTTACTGGCAGGAGATTGTTTGAGAATGGATCCTAGTGATATTTTCGACTAGGCATTTGGCTCTTTTTTGTGAGCTGAAGTAAATTTTGAATTTGTCCACCTCGGCAAACTATTGCGGAGGGTGGATGGATTTAGCTTTGAGTGATTGATGGTTTGATTTCAATTTAAATATCTTGGAATTTGAATTTTGATAGACACTTGAGTGAGATTTGAAATATTTGTAAACCCCTCTGGTTGAGATCTGCATTCAACACGGCCATCATCGGGTTTGGATTGATTACACCTAAACCTAAAACAAAGAAAACATGGCCAGAGCCCACTAATCCATATATAGGCTTATAAATTGCTCATAGAACAAAACTTTATATCTAATGCAGTGAAATCCTACGGCAATGCCTGCGGAAGAAAATAAAATCAAAAAGCATCCACTGTCATACTTTGAATAGAAGCAAAATTAGTAGCAAATTTTTAAGGGTGTGTATCTCAACAACAAAATAAGATTCAGCTATTAAGAATTCTGCAAATCATTAGGACTTTACCATTCCTTGTTCCGTGCTGACTTGGAATTGCATTATCCATTCTTCAACTTCGACTAAAAGAAGCCGCCTCCGAATTCGAGCAACTCTTCCTCTACCTTCTTCCCCTTTGTCCTAATTTTTCACATACTAAGTCAGTCCATTGCAATTCAAGATAACTAATAGTAGTGTGTAGCATCTTAACTAGAAAAATCAACTAATTGTTACTGAGCTTCTTCCAGCCATACAAGTAGCATCGAAGTATTCACAATAATGCAATACATCTGTATATACGTTAAAATGTAAAAGTAGTATGAATATGAAGCCTACAAGTACCTTAAGGCATTAATACAAAAAAAAATATTAATATGTCCATGTGTGTATGCATACTTGCATCCATCCACACAATACAAGCCTAAAGAATCTATATATATATATATATAGAGAGAGAGAGAGAGAAGGATAGAAATCTATTTCATATACTTTATAAAATGGGTGCAAAGCCAGTCATATTATTAATTTTAAGAAGAATCACTAAATATAACAAATAGTTGATGCAAGAACCAAATAAAATGCACGTCACTTTTTTTCTTTTTTTTTTTTGAGAAAAGAATCAAAATGGTCCCTCTACTCTTTGTGAGAGTCCAAAATGATCCTCAACTCTTTTGAGAGGCCAATTTGGGCCCGCAATTTCTTAAAAATGGGTATTTTTGGTCCTAACATCAAAATTTGGAATTAATGGTGTTAAATCAAGATGTATTTTATTCATTTTTATTTAAATTATTCATTAAATGTAATTTTAAAGTAATAGTAAATTTAAAAAAAAATTATTAAGCATTTCCTTATAATTTTAATTTTAAATTTATTAATAATTCTAGTTTTAATTTGGGATCATTATAGACTAGAATTATTAATAAATTTTTTAAATAAAAAATGTTTAATATTCTTTTTTAAAATGCTATGACTTGAAAATTATATTAAATAAATAATTTAATTAAATACCCTTCTAATTTAACATCATTAACCCCAAAATTTGATATTAGGACAAAAAATAACTCTTTTTAAGAAGTTGAGAGACCAAATTGGTCCCTCAAAAGAGTTGGAATCATTTTGATCCCTCACAAAAAGTTGAGAGACCATTTTGGTCCTTTTCTTTTTCTATTTTTTTCAAGGGAGCAACAATGTAAGGAGTAAAGATAAAACCCATGATCTCATGGAGGAATTGAGGTATGAATTACTGTCAAAACTCAGTTCATATATATAAACATGCACATGTGTATAGACCATAGATGTAAAACGGGATGTAAAGAAGCCAGTAATTTGACATAACATCTCGAAAAAAAAAAGAGAGTTAATTCACTCATTTTTTACATCCTCCAATATAGTTCGAGAGGCCAAATCACAACTGTATAGCTTTGTTAAGAAGTGTATCAAGTCTCTGCTTGTATATGCAGGTTCACAGAGGCTGTTCACCATCAGACAAGTAGCTTACATGGAACCAATATTAATGATCTTTTTAACTCCCCTTTCATATCTGTTGATGGCTCATTAAAGGTGTGAGACTAGATTTTGTTTATATATCCTCACTCTAAGTTGTCCACGTAAGTGGGACTATAAGAGAGTTACTACATCCTAACGAAATAACTCATAAAGGAACTCATTTAAATATTGGTAGCGCTTGTTCATTTCATGAAGAAGATTGGCTAGAAAGACAACTAAAAAGTACAGCGACTTTCTTTATGAAAAGATAAACTTGAATGGCATATTTAAGATTATCAGCTCACCTGAAGCACCCATGTCCTTACAAGGTAGAGCAGAATAATTGATATAAAGAAAGCTGGGAGTGCAGCAAGAACAGCAAAGTTGATCTCATTTGCTTTAAGAATTTGATCCAGTTCAAGCATTGCTCTGTGCCCAGCAAAAGCTACATTAAGCAATGACAGGAAAAAAATTCTAAACAACAGCAATCTACCTGAGTATAGGACAGCCAACTCACGTCTCAAGATCCAATTTAAGCTTTTGAATCTGCAAACCAACAACGGTTATTCGCAGTTCGAGTAGGCAGGCTGAAATAACACTGAATGGAATCGACAGAGATGAACCTGAATAAGCATCGCTCGAGCAAGCTCTCCACCAATGAGATTTTGAAGTGGATGCATAACCTCCTTCTCATATCTATGCACTTGAATCATTTAAAAGCCAAAAGTGGAAGAAAAAAAAATAGACTCAAATTTAACCAAAAAAGAAAAAAAGAACATATCAAATGCCATATTCAGATGTCTGGATAATAGATTTAGGAACAATGCGATAAGACAATACCCGTGCCTTTAGATGCCACTTCAGTTGGGAATCTTACTAGGAAAACTAAAGAATCATATAGGATTTTTTTAAGACAATGAAATTTTATAACCATTCAGTGCAAAATTACCTGAGCAAGCAATCATAAAGTAATGCCAACATACAAGCAAAAAGACAAAATATATTGGATCAAAAAGCTAAATAGTTGAGCGATTGATATCTACCCACGATAAGTGAAGTAGGCCCGTAATCAAACACCCAGAAAGTCTAGAATGCCAAAGTCATCATGGGAGTTATCACAAAAAGCTTAGAATCTAATAAATCTGGGAGGACGGAGAAAAACCTTTTTTTTATCTCAATGAGAAAACAGAAGCTTTTTTATCCACTAACTAAGTAAACTTTTGATAGAATATAGAGATTGAATTAAGCTTGAATCATCAACAACCTCCACATCGGAACACTCATAGATAACATTGGGGAATATAGTTGAACCATCACAAGAAGAAGATAGATTATTAGTAACTAAAGGACCCTCAATTGGTAGACATAATGTTTGACCAAATATAGATACTGAATTATCAGTATGCCCACAATCATGTCAGATGATACCTGAGTGAAGGAGCAGGGGATACTGACTTCAAATTAATGAACATTAAACCGGAGGCACTAACTTAAGAGAGGAATCAAAAGGAGTCTTTGGAACATGAAAAACTCCAAAAGGGACCAAAGCTGAAGAAGCAACTCCTAATGAGTTGCGAGACCCAATTTGATCATAGTATTTACCACACTGACTCCTTATATGCTTGGACCAATCAATCCCCAATAATAGGCCCCAAGAAGCATATTTTCTCAATTTTGGATGTTTGTAAAGTAATTAGCATGATCATGAAAAAAGATTTTGCAAGAATGACGGTAACATGACCAACCCTTAAATTTCACTTTTTGCTGGTGCCAAAAATAAAAGTGTCAATCGTACCTCCAAAAACAAAGGGAAAGAAATATCAATTTCAACAAGAACACAAGCAACAAATGTCAACCGACAAAGAGGAATCGGTCATGAAGAAGCACAAGGCTAAGCCTCGACATTAACAAAGAGAAACACTGGCAAAGGAGTCAGATGAGCCTTAGGAAACAAGATGGGAGTCGGGCTCCACAAAGGAAAATGGGACAAGCTGCCATCAAAATTACTAACGACACATGAGCTAGAATAGGTGAGCAGGATGAAAGCAAAGTAGCAAAGGGGCAATGGGTAGACAACATCCACAACAGCGACCTGTGTGGCCATAAAAAAACTAGTAGGAGCGCGATAAGGTGTAGGTAAACTATCTCAACAAGATATGATGAAGGATCGGCAAACAAGCACAAGCAAGCAAAGTTTGAATAATATGAGTGAGAGCAAATTTGAGGAACGTGTGAGCGAGCAAGTGCGGTCCCGAGGAACATAAATCCGGGCAAATGTGTGATTAGGCAATGAGTGTGAGCATCAACTAGTGCAGGGAGCACGAGTGTAAGCAACCAAGTCTAGTAGTGCACCACAAGGATATTATATACTTAGGCTTTATGTAAACTTTGTGGTTTAGCTTTTTGGATTTCTAGGACTTCATTAGATCATAAAATTAAGGTCACAAGGTATTGCAAAGAAAATTAAGTTAAGAAGAGATATTAAAAGTAGTAAATTAACCAGAATAAAAACCCTCTCACCACTATGACATCAATTACAATGGTTCTACTTGCAAATATCACATACTTCTCACCTAAACGATGCCACCAATCACCATGAGCAATCCAATATGACTCAAAACCATAAAAGTTTTCAACTTGTCAAGAGAACTAGCCATCCTAAATCAAGAAAAAGCCAAAGCATACTAAATTAAAACGATAAATCCATCCTTTGGTAAAGAAAGCAAGCATCTGTAGTAATGCAATTAACTTAAAATGTTGAATAAGAGTCATCGCTATATAGGGTATCATCCCCAATAAATCTCCAAGTTAACATGAAGTAGAAGATTAACAGTCCACAGATTTAGAAATAAATTAAGGTTCCAAAAATGAGGCATGAACTGAAGATGAAGACTAGGTAAATAAATCTGTTGCAGATAAAAGAGATTTAATAGTATCCTATCATTGCACCAAAAAGAACCCATATCGAAGGGATCAAAGGTCCACTAATAAAAGGATAAAAACTAACACTGCACCCCTGCCCACTTCATAGCTAGAGAATGGTTGGGTATAACATTCCCAAGCTGATATTCATGAATGTTGGTAGAACCAAATGAAGATTCAGACACTTTGTCATCAAAACATTGAAGTAAGGGTCTCTAACCAATGTAAGGCAAGGGTCAAGCAAAATGTAGACATCAGAATAATGAATCGAAGCACCACTAGCAAATTCCAGAATGATAGAAGAAACCTCAATCCTCAGATTTTATTTAATGATAGACCGACACTATCCTCAAAACAAATCATAGCATTACCACAGGCACCATCCTCAGAAAAAGGAAACAACAATTCACCAAGAGTTATATCCACACGCTTGACGGAGTTATAAATAGCAGGAGCTCCAACATGATTCTCAATCACCATACGTGGAGAATGGTAGGATACATTTAGCGGCCATCTCCAACCTTTTAATATCAACACGAAATCTCAAATGGAGAGCAAAACAAGAAGAAGCGCCAATGACACATAACTTTACAATGAAAGCAAAAATGTCGCAAGTTTTAAATCACATCTATGTCAGTAATCATTCAACTCACAATCAATTCAATCTGTATCAAATATTTGAGCAACATTCAATTCGATCAAAAATAAAGCAATTGAGAATAAAATAAAGATGTGATATTGTGGGATTTGAAAATTTTGCTCCCTGACCTCTTTGTGCTTTTTCAAGAGTATTTTGATTGATTAGGTAGTTATGGATAAAGTTTTCAAAAGGCAGATTAATTTTAAGATAAGAAACTACCCAGAGATTTTGCCCTCATTTTACGAGGACTTTATTATCTTGTTTGAGGTTTCTCATAAGTGCAAGACCTTATGATTAATTACTCATCCAGCTAATAAGAGAGCACTTTTAATTAAAGGTTAGTCGTTAGATATGCACTAAGTACCCGACATATAGCAGCAACAATTTTTAAATTTGGAATCTTAGGATTTTAGTGTTTGGAATTTACCATCGTATACTTAAAGCGGATATTGGGGGAATGATAATGAGTCCGACCAAGATCTAATGATACAGTCATCTCAGACTATCTTGGAGCCTAGTCTACTCAGTTAGAGGAGACAGTTGACCCAACTAGACTAATGTATCATTCAAACCAATGGATCATTATCCCCAGCCATAGATTGCTTCGTCAAAGGGTACTTTGTAGAGTTGAGGTAGATGTTTGCCTAAGGGGACATAAAATCAACATTAGCTAATAGAGAGTTATGCGCCTATTAAGTATACCCTATGATTCATTACTTAAAAGCTCGGAGCCATTGGAAAACATGTTTATAAAACCCTAAATTTTTTTAAATCGTAAGCTTAAATTTTCCCTTGAAATTATACCCCCAAAATATAAACTTTTACAAAAACAAAAAAATTATTTCATTGTGATCTACCTGTCAAATTGAGCAAATTGATATATAAAAATAAATGTTAATTTACAAAAATGTGAAAGTTATGAAATTAGTTTTAATTTGCAATTTTTCCTTAAGTTTTTATTTAATGTTCAGTCATTAAAAATAATTTAGTTGTTAGTGGAATTCAAAATTTTCCATTTAACTTCACATGCATGGGTTTGATTTGAAATCATCATACTAAAATTTAATCACACACACACATAATATATATATATATATATATATATATATATAAGATAAATTGTAAATCCATTCCATTCTCACTACTCCTGTAATTTGCCTCTGGAGTCGAAATAGCAACTTACCGAAATTAAGTTGTGAGTAGGAGGGGATCGTGAGGGCAGCAGCAACTTAAAAAAAAAACAGATAACATAGAAGGAAGGAAAGGAAGAAAAAGAAAATAAAAGGAACGAAGCTAGGAAATAGGTAAGAAATCCAATTTGAATGAGGAGAGATTTAAGTAAAACCCTAATTTTATATCTTTTATAAATTGATTTCTAAATTACGAACTATTTATATTTTTTGCAAAATCATGACTTATTTAGATTGTTTATAAAAGAAAATGAGGTCGATGTATCATAAGGGATCAAATTTATGCTGCTAACCCAGAAAACAAGGTGAGATACTCAATCTCTAGTACAAGAAGCAACAAATTTTATTAGGTCTAAATTTTATAGCATTTCTTCATCATAAGGATTTGATGAAAATTTCAATAACAATGAAAGTTTCATGTTTATGATTAATTGTTCAAAAAGAAATTATTTCATATGTATAATGTTCTAAATTCATGATAATTGTATAATGTTACATGCTATCTCTGACACCTGCTATGATAGCTTGGTTATTATTAGTTTTACAGTCATGCTCTATAAATCAATATAGGTAAAGAGAAATATGTTTGATAATAAAAATTGAGAAAAATCATGTTATGAGAGATAAACTAGTAAGTGGCAACCTACACAGAGAAAGATAAAAGACCTGATAAGATAAGCCATAGTAGGGATCATACAACCTAATTATCGCTTCTAAAAAGTTGATATTTTGAGATCCAGCCTTGAAGGGGCCATAACTTAATGGTTAACCGACGAGCTAGGTGAAAAACAATTATAAACGTGCATGAATAAATAAGAAACATATGAGACAACAATAACATCAAGACTTTATCCCACTACGTGGGGTTAGCTATATGAATCATTTTTCTCCATTGTGTTATGTTGAGAAAATAAAAAACATATGAGAGAGAAATACCTATAAGA